CCCAATTATATTCATCAAATTATCTTTACCTTCACAAAATGAAGTTGAAAATTAGAAGGGTAGAAGAAAATGTGAACCATTAGCATCATACATTGCTTGCATATCTGCTACTATACATGCATCTCAGACAATCTTGGTACATTTATATTTCATTCAGTAAGAATACCTAGAATTCTAAAGTGAAGTATATATTCTATCTCAACTAAAAGTCTAAGTTCATAATTGGATTGCATATTTATTTCGAATCCATCGACTCTGATATATACAAAATTGAAGTATCTGTATGTTCTATATTTTCTCAAATATTTTCAGTCTAAAGAATTTAAATCCCTATCACCGGAGTTCGAATCTATGATCATCCATTTGGAACAGTAACCGAATAACATCACACTACATGGTAATTGGCATATAAAAGGAATCTTGATTGAATGGAATCTCATTTCAGAATATTTGGTAGACCAACTTCCATCCCATTTGTCATCATGCTAAAAGAAACCATTACCAGAAAACTCTATTTTGAGTAGCTGATCTGATGCACAACCTCTAGAGTGCGTGCGACTGTCAGGTCTAAACAAGCGAAAAGCCGTATCATCTGACTCAGATTCTTGACACTCTAGCTAAATATTCTAACCAACACCCCCACTCCTATTGTTCAGGTGATTACATCAAAATGTATATATTAAAAACAAACTTTTGAGTTGGCATGCTTTCTTTCTGGTGCAACACTGTAACTTACTTTTGATGATCACTAAAAAGATAAGATTTACATGGAAGTGTTACTTAGCAGCTAAGGGATCGGAGGGCTAGTAGAACTAATAATATAAAGTAGAGTTAATGTCATATTGGGCCCTCTGAGTATAGTGATTTTGTCACGTTTAGTTCTAAATTTTCAAATTGACCAGTCCTTCGACGTTAAAATTATTATCGTCCGTGATCCAAGTCTACACCCATGGTCATTCAACTTTCAAAATTTAACCAGCTGTGATACTCCTAGAAGAATCATGGGTAATCAAAATTTGATAATTAAAGAACCAGAGTGATTAATTTGAACCACGAAGGGTAACAATTTAAAAGGCAAAGAGTCACAGATAATCAATTTGAAAGCTTAGAACTAAAGTTGGCAAAACTACTATACTCAGAAAATTCCAAATGATATTATACAGTACTGGTATTAATTAATTATTAGTTAATGCTGATCGATTTGGATCAACAGCTTTTGGGAAATTTCTTTTCTCATCTTGCTTTTGTTTATGTCAGCTTCAATGTAAATTGAAGGCATGGGTTGTAGTAAGGCACCCATGCATGCTGACCTATTCCAACACCATCTAAAAGGTCCAAACCATCCAATTCTAAGATATATTAGAAATGCTATATATGAACTAATTTTAAGAATCCATGTCCAACTACTACCAGAAATTCAATTGTCATTTACATACATTATGTATATATTTGTTATAGAGTCAATTCCATGAACACTCCTTTGACTATTGACATTTACTAATTTTTATCTTCAACTTTCAAATTGACCATAATTAATCCTTAAACTATTGATTTTATTTCAGATTTGATCTTTCGATTAAATATTCATTTAATAAGCATTAAATTTAAATGTAAGAATATAAAAATTAGCTTGCAGAATCGCTTTTCCAAATTTGCATATTTAAGGATGTTAAAACAAAATAAAAGATATAATCACCTCAAATTTTGAGGTAGAGACTTATCAGTATGTAATCTGGTCAAATTAGCTAATCATGCATCAACATGTTCTTCATATTCTCACTAATGATAAATCTAGTGTATGAAGTTTATGAATCATATTTGTCCATCTCAGTAACAAGCCAATGTTTACAGTCTTACCCTTATATTAAATGCTTACTAAATAGACATTTAACTAGATGACCAAATCTAAAGCAAAATCGATAGCCAAAAGACTACTTATGATCAAATTAAAATGCAATTATAAAATTTAGTAAATCTCAATAGTCAATAGATCATTCTTAGAGTTAACTCATTTATTATCTATTTCTGCAATAAATCAATGCCACCATTCAGGGAGGTGGCAACTAGTACCAAGCCAGCTCCCCCAAAATGGCCTCTTTCTAAATTAGTTAGAGTCCAATATGATTAATTAACGGATACTAGACTACTAGAGGGTCATAATACAACAACAATATAATAACAATAACACAAACAACAATAATAATAATAATTATTATTATAATAATAATAATTAAAAAAATAATAATAATGTAAAAGGTTGCCAAACATTCTTATACATGGACTCAGGTAGATCTTATACCACTGAAAAGAAAGGGATGAAAAATGTAAAATTTTAAAGTGAATGAAAAGGAAAAAAAGAAAAAGTGAAATTGCAAACGAAATAGAGTAGAAAAAGACATTATCACTGAGAATCACAAGCAAAGACTAATCCCATATAAAAACTTTTGCTTGCAATTTGCATTGCTACGTTTGCTGGAAATGTTTGCTTTACCAAATCCTTCTGTTCAAATTCTATGCATATAATATATAAAGGCAATAACTTGTCAGAGTTCGCTTCATATATCCTTGTCCGTGAGACGAGTCGAGTCGAGTCAAGATCAAATGTAATATTTATATTGAAAAATATAATACTAATAAGAAATAAAATATTTATTACTTATATGAGAAAGTGTAATACTTTTACATTTTGATTTAAAATTATTACATTTTTTTTCAAATATATTACATTTCTACATCTACAATTCTAATAAGAGCCAATAATGTTAGGCCCTTAACTGGAATAAAAAAAATGACGGTACTACTTGTTTCTTAAAATGAATGATTCATAGTATTTTGATTTTAGTATTTTTAATGATTTTCCATATTTACCCTTTATTATATTATTTTCTTTCCTTAAATAACCTTAAATTTCGTTAGTATAAACTTTATTAACGGAATATTCCGTTAACTATTTATTATTATTAATTTACTCATTAATTTCTATAAGAAAGGTCTTATGTTTGAACCGCATTCCAAATAGAGTTAGCATAATTGTTAAACATATACTATGAATATGTTAAAATGTATTAAAAATAAAATATAAAATTTAACATAAACTTTGGTCAAATAATTAGCTCGACTAAATACATAGCATTCAATGATTATAAATCCGGAACTTTGATAATCATTTGATTTTCTTTCATTAAAAAAATAATAAATTTAAGTTCAGTTTTTTTTTTATTTAATTAATCTTCTTTTGATTATTGAGAACAAAACTTAATATTTCAATTATGCTTTTAACAATGCATGAAAACTTCTAAAGAAATTTGTAAGTTAATTTTTACTATATTATTATAATAATATCTATTGTAACATTATATTTTGAATTATTTATTATCATCATCTATTGACAACAATTGTCATTGACAAACTCTCAAAACAATTTGTCTCAACAATGAATGGAAATTAAAAAAAAATCAATGATTTCATTATTGTAGATGAAAAGTATGTACGCCCACTATATTCAATTGTTATGTTGTGGAACTGTGTCCACCTTGCAATGTGGACGCAGTTCTATGTTTATAATTACTGAACTTTTATGTTCATAATTATAAAACTATATATTCATAATTTTTGAACTTTATATTCATAATTATTGAACTCTATATTCATAATTACTGAACTATATGTCCATAATTATAAAACTATATATTCATAATTTTTTAACTTCATATTCACAATTATTGAATCTCTATATTCATAATTACAGAACTATATATTCATAATTATGTTCACAACTCTATGTTCATAATTATAAAACTATATGTTCATAATTTTTGAACTATATATTCATAATTATGAACAGTTTTGGAACTGTGTCCACCTTTGTCCACCTTGCAAGGTGGACACGGTTCCATATCATAATTTTCCCGGCCACTTGATTGCTCTTATTACTTAAATTAAAAAATTAAGTAGTAACTACAACAAAAAATAATACATATTCATTTAATTAATTTAGAATTAGATGTCTCACAACACATGAAACATGTAGGGAAAAACTACCGCTACCAAATATCAACATGTGCTTGTAAGATAAAGAGTTTATAGCACAACTAAGATCTCAGTCATATACACAACAAGACAAATCTGAAACTTCATACACCATAATCTCATTGCATGATGAATCCCTCTATGATACTACCAATAACTCAATTGCACATGACACACTACCAATAAAAAAAAAAGACATGTACGGAAGATGAAAACAATAACAATGCTACCTAAAAGAGAATTAGAAAAATTTAAACCAAAAATAATATTTATTTAGACTATCGCTTTTAGACTTAGTACTTAGATTAGCGTTATTACAAAGTTGCAAACATTTATTTTTGTGACAGTTATACATAATCAATCTCTCATATATTATCTTGCATTTATATACTTTAAATTACCGATTTAAATAAACAAATTTAACATTTATTTACCTATGCATGAACATCTTCTATATAATATTGCATTGATATACTTTGAAATACTTATTTAAAAATAAGTATTGGACATTATCCTATTCGCGCAAAGCGCGTAGAAAAACTAGTTCTTTTATAAGTAACAAATACTTGCCAACATTATTTATAAGGGAAAATGTAATAATATTTTTGATAAAAAAAAAAATATATTTTTACATCAAAATGTAAAAGTATATATTACATTTGTCATCAAAAGTATTACATTTTCAGTACTGATATTACATTGTTATATTGACTCGACTCGACCCGTCGGTCTAACAAAAGTGTGGCCCATATATAAATAGCTTATTTTGAAATCTAATTCTGGTTTCTTCATTTTATAAGCTTAGTTATATTTTCCATTTAGAAGCTTCAGTTGTATTTTCATGTGTTCTAACTTCAAGTAAACATATTTAAAATTTTGTATCTTTCAAATTGGATTCTGAAACATATGTCTATTTTCCATTCCATACTTACATGCAATACAAATCAAAGATTATTTACAACGTGTGACAACACATCCTAGCACTGGGTCTGATATATTGCCTCCTTAAAATGTTTCAATGTTCTTTGATGATTTAAAAATCCCATGAACCAGAACTCATGCTTGTCCTCAGTAACTACTTGTATGTACTTCTGTGATGGTTTCTTCTCATTACGGCTCTCGTTCGCACTCTTTATTTTTCTAAGTGGGATCATGACTTTGTAACGAACTCTTAGCGATTTCCCACTCGAAGAAGAAGAAGAAGAAGAAAGCTTAATGGATCTTTCACTACAGAAAGCAATCTTGTCAGTGGAGATGAAGAGAAGGCCTGCAATGGGACCTGATGTTGTTGATAGATAGCACTGAGAAGTCTTTAGAAGCTCTTCACCTTCCTTAACATTGAAATTCCACTTGAAGATTTTGCTAACTCCACCTACTTGGAGAATTTTCTTGCCAAGGCTCAACTTCCCTTTTACAGTTTCAGTAATCTTGTCTCCTAATTTCACTGCAGAGTGAAATAAATAGCATTAGAATAATTTTGTCTCTTGGGTACATACCCAGAGTTATTTAAAATTTTTGTGATTGGGCGGGGCAGGTGAAGGGCCAACTCCATAGTTATATCATGAACTTGGGTCCACCTTATAAGGTGAATTTGGTCCAAAATACACAATTTACATACTGAATGTTCACAATTTGCATATACAATTTACATACTAAATGTTCATAATTTACTTTTTATAAAATTGTAAACATTCAATATGTAAATTGTGTATTTTGGATATGGGATCACCTTGCAAAATGGACCCAGGTCCACAAAATAATTTGTCACTAGAGGATGTTGGGATGAGGTCGGTAAATGGGCCAAGCCAGCACCTTACCTCTCAAAAATGTTATGATGGTCTATAAAGAAATAAATTTGCGTCTTCACTACAAGCTATAGTTTTTGGCGCAGTAGTAAGCGTTTGATACTAACAAATTGGTATCAAACATGCAATTAAAACTGACAGGTGTTAGGAGGGGGAATTGTTAGGCAATTGGTGGCGGCCAAGTCTATGGTGGCTAGGGGGATTGTTGGGCAAAGGCAGGTGAAGGGCCAAATCCAGTACCCAACCTCTTAAAAATGTGATGGCAATTTATAAGGAAATAAAGTTGCATCTTCGCTACTAGCTATAACTTTTGGCGTAGTAGTAAGCGCTTATCCTAATAAATAAGAACGACCAAAAACAATAAAAAAGAAAATGTTACCGTGTTCTCGGATGCCTTGTGCAAATTTATTCATCTTGTGAGCCACTGAATCTGCTCTACTACCTGCATTTGTTTGCATTTCATTATATTAGTTTGTCATAATGGTTTTATCAGCTTTAATTTATTCTTCTTCAGAGTGAATAGAACTTACTGAATCTGATCTTTGAAGGTTCATTTGACAAAGCCAGGGCATGGCATTGGGGTCCATGGCAAGCCAGAAGCCTTTTCTGTGACTTCCCAAATGAGGAAACTGCAGAGCAGATTGGAATTCTTACATCTAACAGTGGATTCATCTTCCCCAGCTTGCTTCAAGTTCTTTCACCCTCTGCAATGTCTGCTACAGAAGAAGAAGAAGATTGATGAATATAATGGAAGTTTTGTGTGACTATTTGTAGGAGAAAGGTGTAGTGTTTTAGTTGCATGAATCCTTTAATTTTGCTTTTAGATTATCCTTGCATGTGCTGATTGGTTGGTGGTGTAAATGTTCTACTTTATGAAGAGGCATTCTTGCTTTTTTATGTAAGCAACTTCTAATCTATAAGAGCCAGTGGCCCCATTGTACACCCAAAAGTTGTAATAGAATTGAATTGGCATGCTAGTTTTGAATGGCATCATCCTTTTACCTACAAATAGTCCAACAAATAAAAACCAAAGTGATAGTCAAATAGCAACTGGCCTACTAATATGGATCTTGATGTTCCCTCTGTTTTAGTAATAATTAAATAAGCACACAAAAATATGGGCAACTCAACTGGTCATAGAGGTGAAAATTGAAAAAAATGCCCGGGGATTGAGTCTCACCAGCGGCAATGTGGGAGCAACCTCTCAAAGTGAGAGGAGCTCCTTGTGCGCAGTAAGCAAAGGTCTAGCCTCTGTGCTTCATGTTCAGTTAAGTTATCATTCTCAAGACTGCAAGACGCGATCAAAATATATTAAATAATTCTTAACTTTTCTCCCCAAATTCATATTTTCAACTTAAATTTATTTTTCTCTTTTTATTTTATACAAATAAAATTAATGTATAAATATAGATCATTAGAAAAGCTCTAATTTAAATTTTTTAAATGACACACATCAATTTTTTTTTTTTTTTTGTTAAATGCATCTGCTAGCTCATAAACCTAAACATTAATGTATATAAATACTAAACTTAATATACATCATATGTATTTTCATTCACTCGATATTAGGTTAGGTTCATAGGGTTCTTTCTATATATTCTAAAAAATAAAGTTTAATCTACATAAACATTATACTACAAACGTATTATGTTTATTGTTTAATAACATTTATCATGTACTATATTCAGAATATTTGCTTTATATGTCCATAAATTTAAACCGTAATGTACAATTGTACATATACATTAAACTATATGTACATCATATGCTTTTGCATTCACTCTATAATTATTTTATATGTTCATAAAAATAAAGTTGACTGTACATAAATATTAATAAATTAAAATAATGACTTTAATTATGTACCGATAGACTTATTTTAAAAAAAAAATATATATATATATATATATATATATATATATATATATATATATGTGTGTGTGTGTGTGTGTGTGTGTGTGAGAATATCATTTAAACAATCTCAATTAGATTTTTTTAATAATATATTTTTAATACAATAATTTTATTTGTACATAAAAAGAAAAAAAATAAATTTTAGTTGAAAAAAGAAAGTATAAGAAGAAAAAAAATAGAAATGTGTTAAGTGCCATCTAACAACATGCATTATGCATATGGTCCCCAGTTTAACTCTTAATAGCATAATAACCCACATAATGAATTGAGGCAAATTAAATTATACAACAAAGTACAGACCATGTTCAAAATGGAATATGGAATATGGATCATGGATAAATGCAGAGCGGGTCCTATAGTTTTATAGGCACACAATCATTATTGCATGGACCATGGTCCACACAATTGTGTGAATCATAAATAAAAAGTACATTTTTAATATATTAAATGTACATTATTTATGTACGTAGTATATTTTTTGAAAGTACATTTTTAATATACTAAGGATACATTATTTTATATAATGTACCTTCAGTACAAAAATAATGTATTTTTAATATATTAAAAATGTACCTGATATTTATGGTCCACACAATTGTGTCGACCATGGTCCATACAATAATTTGCCAATCATTATACCCTGCACCACGGCGCATACAGCACTGTGCGCCCTACGCCTCCCAAAACGACGTCGTTTTGTTATGTTGTGTAGGAAGTTAACGCGATTATGTACATTATGGTATACAATTATGTACATTTGTTTATATAATTATGTACATTTTTTTATACAATTATGTACATTTTTTTTATACAATTATGTACATCCGAAACAAGGAATTTATGTGCATTATGTTAAGAGTTTATGTGTATTATGTTAAAAATTTATGCGTATTATGTATTATGTTAGATTATGTGTATTATCTTTTCAAAAAAAGTACGTGTATTTTCTTATATAATTATGTGCATTTTAGTATACAATTATGTGTATTTTAGTATACAATTATGTACATTTTTGAAACATGAGATTTTTTTTAAAGAAAATTAATAATCAACACAGGAAAGCTAAATTTCCAAAAAAAAAAATTCCAAAACGACGTCGTTTTGCACCAGGGCGCACAATGCAATGCGCACCCTGGTGCACGATATAAATTGCCATAATTTGCCCAAGTGAAAAAAGGGGCCCCAATACAATATTTAGAAGTTAACATAATTTTTTATAACTAAATTTTAAATGTCATATACGAGTACAAAAATAGTAAAATACTATTGTCAACTAAATTGAAATAAAATTTAAAAATTTTCAACATTTTACAAATACAATACTAATGCAAATACTATTGTCTAAGATATCATTCTCAATACACAATATTGCCAATCCATTTAATATTTCTTATGACATTGAAGATCTTAGGTATGTTTTCAATAATTTTAATTTTGAGAAACTCCTTTGAGCAAAAACTACAGTCACGAGTATAGTCAATAGAATCCGATAAACAATAGAAAACGTTGGGTAGCAATCTGCGACTTTAACAAACTCAAGAATCTCAATTGGTGACATCAACTTTTCTGGCAAAGTTATCTGTAACACTTTTAATTCAGAAAAAAAAAAAAAAAAAAAAAAGATAATTTGAATCAACATCCGACACATTGTTATGAGAAAAGTAATTGCAAAATTATTACAACATTCGATTAATTCATTATTATCTAATGACTTCAATTTTTTTGAATCATACAAGAATCCAAAAAAAAAATCAAATGTCTTTAATTGCTCAAATCCAGTATTCAATGAAGCAATTGCCATATACGTAACAACTAGAAAATAATTAACTCTAAAGGATTCCTCAGGTGATTGCATTTCTTCTTCATGATCATTTTTGTCAAATTGTTTTCCTAATAATACGACATTTAATTGGAAATGTAGGATCTATGTTCATCTCACATGCAATACCTTTAGGGGGCGTTTGGTTCACGGAATCTTAGATTACCCCAGGTAATAGGATTACCTCGATGAAGGTAATGTCAGATATTGGGAATGTAAGATTACCTTGTATGTTTGGTTTGGAAGGTGCAATATAATATTACCTTGTTTGGTTCAAGGTTATATTTTAGGTTATATGGATCAATTTACAATAACGTCCTCAATATATATATATATATATATATATATATATATATATATATATATATATATATATATATATATATATATATATATATATAAAATGTGTGTGTATTTATTTATATGTATGAATGTATATCAATGCTTAAATATTAAAAAAACTAAATATATAAATATACACATGTATATTTGATTATATAAACATATATTAATTTATTATTATTATTATTATTATTATTATTATTATTATTATATAAGGATTAGTTAACAAGGGCAAAATTAGAATAATTCAAGGTAATCTAAGATTACCTAAAAAATGGGGTTAATCACATTACCTTGAAACATTACCACCACATCAGCTTTCAGGTAATATAACATTACCAGGTAATCTTATAACTTGAACCAAACAAGGTAATATAACATTACCAGACTCAGATTACCTAGGTAATCTAAGATGACCTGAACCAAACGCCCCCTTAGCAATATCTATACTAGAAACAAACCCTTCATTTCTATACTTCTCAAAAAAATCTATTACACCTTTAATTTGATTTTTAGTAGTTTCAATGCACATAGATTTTCCTCACCAAAAAAAAAAAAAAATGTACATAGATTTTGATTGCAACCTTTTACTTACCATGTTAATAGCAAATAAAATTTCATACCAAATAACAATTCCAAGTAAAAATTCAAAATTCTCAAGTGCACAAACCAAGCTATCTGCTTCACTCTTTGACTTGGCATCATTACAAGATTTAGATAATTCTAACAAAGCTAACCTTATTTGAGGAGCTTGAAATATAATAGCTTTGACATTTTTTATTCGACTCTCCCAACATGTATTTCACAAAGATTTTACAGTTAGGTTTGAAACATTATCAAGTAAAACTTTCCATCTTTTAGAAGAACTTGAAAATAAAGCATATATTTGTAATTTGTTACATAACTCCAAAAAAATGAAACTGCTTTAGTTCAAGAATGTGTCATATCACTAACAGTAAGATTAAGACTATGACAAGCACATGGCATATACAATGTTGGATAAAAAATAGCATAAATTGGCATAAAATGACATTTTAAGTAGCTATTTTGTGGTACAAATATCAGTGGGGTCCACTTCCGAATTGGGTCGGTTCAAAGTGAATTCGGGTTCTTCGTAGTAAGACGAAGAGATTGATATATTGTACGCTCAAAACAGATAATGGGTGAATAAGATATTGATTCTCAAAGTAGACCCATTTGAGTTAGAAAAATGAAGGGAAAAAGTGAAGCTTTTGTCCCACATTGGTTTGGGAAGAGGATTTGCCCCACTATTTATACAGGAGCTCTTTTTAAACTTATTGAATTGTATAGCATGGAGGTTCTCTCTCATGCACAAGGGGGAGGGGTGCAAATCAAATCTTAAACTGAGATTTGTGTATCGTGCTTAACGACAAGTTTCTGCTGGCTTTTAGCCCCCTCTTAGCCAATTGTGTCTTAAGCTTTACTCTAGTTCGTCGGGTTTAAAGTTTGGGTGCTGAAACATTGAACCGTAGCACGTTTTATAGCCCTCTCTTAGCCTACTGTGTTCTAAGCTTTGCTCTAGTTCGTCGGGTTTAAAGTTTGGGTGCTGAAACGTTGACCATAGCACGTTTTATAGCCCTCTCTTAGCCTACTGTGTTCTAAGCTTTGCTCTAGTTCGTCGGGTTTAAAGTTTAGGTGCT